GCAGGAGGAGGGAGGGCCCAGCAGGGGGTGCTGGGGGGGCAGGAGAGGAGGCGGGAGCTCCCAGCAGGGGGTGCTGGGGGGGCAGGAGAGGAGGCGGGAGCTCCCAGCAGGGGGTGCTGGGGGGGCAGGAGAGGAGGCGGGAGCTCCCAGCAGGGGGGGCTTGCTGGGGGGGCAGGAGAGGAGAAGGGAGCTCCCAGCAGGGGGTGTTGGGGGTGTGCTGGGCATGGGGGGCGCCCCTCAGTCCCTCACCTCAATGGTCAGATATTCCTTGAGCTTTTTGCAGGTGGCGAAGAGGGTCTCTGATGTGGCAAATTCAAAATACCAGAGTTTGTTCTTCATCCTGGAATGGAACCAGAGCCCCCAGAGCCCGGGTGGAACACAGAACAAACCACAGCTGTGCCCTGCCTCCCAGCAGGGGGTGCTGGCTATAGGGGGGAGGGGCACAGCCCTGCTGCTCCTGTCCCCGCAGGGGCACGGCGGGGGGGGAGCAGATTGCTCCTGGTGGCTCCCAGCCCATCTCAGCATGAGGAGGGGGGAATCTCAGGGAGTTAAAAAACGTGATGGCCAACGTCCGGGCTATGAATCCACAGTCACCAACCCCTCACGGGGTCCCCAAGGGCTGAATCAGCTTCCCTGAGCCCTGGGACATCAGACCCTGGAGCCCCTCCCATGATACAACACAGCCTGGCAGCTCAGCCCCGCTGTGCCAGCCTCAGCCCCCAGCCCTACCCTGCCTGCTGCCCGCCTCTGCCCCCCTGGCCCTCGCTCACCTGCTGTTGAATTTCTCAGGACACTTCTCCCTCATGAGGTGGAAGCGGTGAGCGATGGAAGCATCCTGGAGACAGAGACACAGTCAGAGCGCAGCAGGAGTCCGAGGGGGGGTCCGAGGGGCTCCCCCCTGAGGTTCCCAGACTGGCCACATAGGGGTGACACCGAGCCAGGCTCCTGAATGTGGAGTGTGGGGACGGGAAGGAGGCTCTGCCCTGCCCTCTCCCATCTCCACCCCCAAGCCACACACCCCAGCTGGGCTCCTGCTCCCTTCCTCCCGCACCAGCCTTGCTTCCTCCCCAGCCCTCCCCCACTGCCCGGGCCCCGCCTGCTC